ACAACGCCTTACGCTTACACAGTCCCTCCACCTCGAAGGCAGGTGTTTAACTCATTAGGCCATCTTGGATATTTATAATTGTGCTCTTTGGGATTAATGTCAGTTTGTTGTTGTTTTTTTCGATGTAATTGTCCCTAGAATAGGCTTAGTGCTCTTTTTTCGTGCGAGTAACGTATGTGTTCATAAATACATACAAATAAACAAAATGGGGGATAAATAGACAGATGGAGAGAGGGAGAGAGAGAGAGAGAACAAGACTGCCTGTCTGTGTGTTTGTAGCCACAACCCAGTTTTTTTCAGAAAAGAAATGTATAAAAGTGTGGGGACAGAAAACGGATACGACAGAGAGAAAGAAAGACAAGAAAAAAGGAACACGCTGAAGAAGAAAGAACTAATGACACCAACAATAACAATCATATTAAGGGTGATCAGAATAATAAAGCAAATTAATGTAGTAATAATAGTAATAAATAATAACAACAGTTATAATAGTAATATAAATAAATATTAACAATAACAATATTAACAATGAGAAGCTTAACAACTGTAACTTTGAAATACCTATATTTATCTATCACAAAACTTATAAAAACCTCGGATAGGCAAAATTATAAGAAATAATGATAATGGCTACGATTTTTTTTTTTCATATCAAATCTGTCTTCCCATCTCTCTCTCTCTCTATCTGTATATCTATCTATCCATGTATTTATCTATCGATTTCACTATCTGTCTATCTCACTATCTGTCTATCTATTTCACTCTATCTGTCTACCTATCTCACTGTCTACATGATTATCTATCTCACTGTCTATCTGTCTGTCTCACTGTCTGCCTATCTATTTCACTCTATCTGTCTACCTATCTCACTGTCTACATGATTATCTATCTCACTGTCTATCTCACTATTTGTCAATCTACCTCCTACCTATCAGTCTATCTATCCCATTATCTGTCTATATCACTATCTATCGCTTACGATCGACTTATCTTATTGTCTGGTAATTAATATCACTGTCTATTTATCTATCTCATTGTTTATCTATCTATCTCACTTTCTATCTACCTATCTCACAATCTATCTCACTGTCTATCTCTCTATCTATCTAAGTCTATCTATCTATCTTACTGTCAATCTGACCGTCTGTCTATCTCAGAGTGTGAAGAAGAAAAAAATATTTAAACTATCAAAAGTATCATTCCTTCCGTTTCCATCAAGAAATTTCAATGCGGCAACTAAATATATCATAAAACATAAACTGTAGTTTGTATATTTATCTATCTATCTATCTATCTACTTGTTTGTCTGTACATTAACCAATCAGACGAACTTCTCTAATAATGAAATTAGCGGTCTATTTAACCTATGCATTTGTTTCATCGCCATGTGAATGATGAATCTCTACGTGTATTTACCTAATACATTTTTGACGCAGGTATGCCAATTCTATGCCACAATTTAAAGCTGTAGAATTGAACCGAAGTCGCCCGATCAGACGCCACAGAGAGAGGGAGGAGGCGGGGGGAGAGCAGTGAACAGAAAAAAAGAGAGCAGAAAACCATACTCTGTATATTTCTTGAATTATGATTTAGCAATCAAATTCATAAGGTGGATTATCATGAATATTTTCGTTATATAAGCATACTCAGGGTTTTAATATATCAGATTAATGTAGAATGACAACGGGAGTGAAGCACTGATGATTGCATTGAAGTTACTGACGCAATAATGGGAACCTTCATTCACAAAATGACCTATATTTTATCATCATTCTTGTCAGATTATGATGATATTTCTTAGAGACTAACACTATGCATGATTAACCAATCTTTAATAATCGTGAACAATGCAAAAAGAATTTGATTAATATAAAAGAGAGAAAATGGATATCTGTCTGGGTATCATTATTACACAAAAATTACTTTTATTTGTCTACGAGATGAAAGATCTAAATTATTATCAATTAAACATGTTTATTTTGATATGTATGTTTATTTTGATAGAACATTCATACAATGAAAAGTTTTATGATTGATATTTTTGTTTTAATGCGGCGATGGAATTTATAATAATAAACAACAAATTAGAAAAACAGTTAATCTGGAGTATTTAAATTTACGTTGTTTTTTTTTCTTTTCTTTTCTTTCTTTCTTTCTTAAGCATTCATACCATTCCATTACCTGTCCATGAATACAATTAAAACAATAAAGAAAACATCCTATCCAAAAATGGACCTACGTGTGATTCCACACTTGGCATGGAACAGTCTCGAACGCGGGTCTTTAGGATTAGCAGATCCCTACGTTAACCATTCCTCCATTCAGACGAACTTTGATAAATTGAAATTAACGGTCTATTTAACCTAAGCATTTGTTGCATCATCTTATTAATGATGAACTTCTACGTGTATTTGTGCGTTTGATACATTTTTGATACAGATATGCCAATTCTAAGTTAAAGCACTGAAGAAGTCGCCTAGTAGTTAATAAGAGAGAGCAAGGTATATATAAAACCTATGTATAGACCTCGAGAAAGAGAGAGAAAGAGAGAGAGAGAGAGAGAGAGAGAGAGAGAGAGAGAGAGAGAGAGAGAGAGAGAGAGAGAGAGAGAGAGAGAGAGAGAGAGAGAGAGAGAGAGAGAGAGCAGAAAATCATGCTTTGAGAAATTCATAGAGGATTATCATGATAATTTTCCTTGTGTGAACATATTCCAGGATTTACTTTATCAATTTGATGTGGAATGAAAAAGTAAATTTCAGAAATATTAGCATGACAATTATTTTTCTTTAAGTATTATTCCTACCGATGTCTGTATAAAAATCTCAAGGTTTTTTATGTGGCTGCGATGGTAATTAGATGAAGAAACACACAAACAAAAGAAAAAAAAGGAGTCATTCACGAAATTTCTTTGTCTCGTTTTTGGTTTTAACAGGTTGTTTTAGAATAAACTACGTCATATAATAAGAACAAAAGTAGCAGAAAGGATAATATGGATTAAAGGCCCAGATGAAACGATATGAAATTCCTCCCCCTGTCACTTTTTCCACTTAACTTACAACTCTGTGACAGCGTTCGTGTACTAATATGTACAGTGTCATGA